GTATTTAGCAACCTTGTGCTGAAAATTATTGTTGGACTCCCTGAGGAAGATTCTGAAACAGAAGGACATCTGGACCTCTGTTGGAGGAAGACAGAGCACATGTAAAGAGAATTTAAGGAGTCCTCCCTTTTGAAACTTTTTTACAGAGGAGGACTAGTATATATTATAAGGTTGTACTATATCTTTTGAGAATCTATGGAGATGATATTTGACATTTTGTTCTCTTATATTATGAATTGTGACTATGATGATTAATATGTATGAAGAAATTATTGTAATAATATTTTTCTAAATGCATAAAATTATTTATGATAGGTTATAATTCATTTGTGCATGGTGTATGTTGGTTTTCCTTCTTACCGTGGGTCCTTGTTTGGGTTTTGTGTCTCCTTCCTTAAGACTTCAGAGACAGCATCATAGATTGAGTGAGAGAGAGAGAGCAGCTTTTCCCCTTTGAAGTAGAATGCTATTCATAGGGACAAGACTTTCTTCCAGCTTAACTCTCTCTCTCTCTCCCACACACAGAGGAGTACGCGATCTCCGTCTTTGGCACTATGGATGTAGGATATCATTTTGCATCTGCATCTATCCTAGCTAGTTAGATTAGAACGTTCCCTCTAAGCTGTGGAGTGTTGTGAGCATAAATTCAACTTTGTGAGCCAAAGGAGTACTAGGAAAAAGAAGACGAGGAGGAGGAGGAGGAGGAGATTGGATTTATACCCCGCCCTTTACTACCCAAAGGATTCTCAGAGTGGTTTACAATCCCTTTCCCTTTCCTTCCCCACAACAGACACCCTTTGAGGTAGGTGGGGCTGAGAGAGCTCTCCTGAGAACTGCCCTTGAGATAACAGCGCTGAAAGAACTTACGACTGACCCAAGGTCTCCCCAGCAGCTGCCTGTGGAGGAGTGGGGAATCAAACCCAGTTCTTGCAGATTAGAGTGCGCCTTCCTAACCACTACACCAAACTGGCTCTCAACCGAGCCTACATTTAACTATCACATAAATTAGTTTTTTTGAATATTATTACCATAACCATAACCTTGTAAAATCTCAGAATGAATTATTTTAAACTATATTTTATGAATTATTTAAATATTACAAGAGAAAGAATCAAGTCAAATTTCATTTGTAATTCTGGAAGAAGTTTAGGATCCACCTTGAGGTTGGTAACCATAGGTAGCACCTTTCTCTTTGGTGTGTTGATTTTCTATGCACATGGAGTTTTTTTTAAATGCAGAGGAATCGAGGCAAATCTCATTACAGAAAACTTTTTAATTTAACTTCTCTCTTTTTCTAGATCACAGATTGCTAGTTCACGACGATGTTGTTATAATCTGTTGCCACAACCTCCTTTTTCCCACCTTTTAATTTTTTTAAAAAGTAAGTCTCTAGCCCGTTTCTTGCAGTTAAAAGAGGAAAAGTGCAGACTGTATTTCTGATCCCTAAAATACAGGGAAATATCGTTAAACAGATTGACTGTAATCCAAATGGCTGCTTTGGGCATTCCAAAGAGACTGCACACACTAAGGGGGACCTTTTTTGTTGTTGTTTGTTTGTTTGATGGCCTGTGTGATGGTTACAAACTGCTTTGTTGTTTCCCATGCAGGTTAGCCATACATTTCTTTGGCTTAGCTAACTACTTTTCCTGCTATATAGTGACAGGTGCTAAAGGCACTCCTCCTTTGGAACAGCACAAATAATTTACTGCATGTGTGTTTGTGGGGGGTACCTTTCTTATACTCTTAATATAAAGTCAAGGGCTCAGTCTGTGGTCCATATTTTGCACTTCCCTCTCTCTTATCAGGAAATACCCTATGAAAATCTGATCTCTGCTATGGTTGCCTTTGTTCCTTGTGTGCAATGTGGGGATGATATTACTGACCAACTTTATAAGGATATCACAGAGACTCCTGAGAGATCTATTGGAGCCTCCTGAACCTGTAAGCAGGGGTAGCAGACTTATTTACTGAAGATGTTAGTTGTTGGAATTGCCTCCTTGCAAATAAATGGCTGATGTTTTGAGTCAGCTTGTCTCTGCTGAATGGACCTGAGAATGGGTGCTTAAGTGAGTACTCTAACCTGGGAATCCAAAGGCAAAGGGGGCCACAGTGTGTGCGAGCATCTTTTAGCTCTGATCTTTCTGGAAAGATGAGAGGGAAGCAGATTTTGGTGACATCGGGGCACACTTGGAGAAACCATGGAAGGCAATGTGTGGATGCTCCAAAAAACCTTGCTCCGATCTGAGAGCTAGACCAGAGCGAATCCTCCATTTGGAGGCAGCCATATTCACAGTTGGTAAAGAGTATTCATACTGGTAAACTATGGTAAAAAGTATTCATACATGCACACACACCCCACAAAACACATTTTAGAGGGATTGCCATGTTGTTCTGCTGCACTCAAAACAAAGACAAGCCTTGTGGCAACTAAAAAAAACATATTGAAGGTTTCATGAGTCCTACTGCATCATTAAGCTGCATATTCTGATGAATCAAAGGAGCTCATCTTTTCTACAATGCATCATTTGTTGGGAAGGAACCTTTGAAAAATTAAATATATAACCAATATGCCTTTCCTTTCTAGATTTGCACTGTGGAAAAATTATATCCATTACTGGTTAAAAAGTAGGGAACCAGGCACTTTCCTTTTATGGTGATGTGTTGCAACAGGCTCTGCTATCCAGTAGTGAAGCAATCTGTACAAATAGGTTCTTGAGCTGCGTGGCAGAACAGAGATGAAGAGAAGATATAGTCCGAAGAATAAATGATATCTGGACAAAGTAAGTCATGACTGGCAAAATAAGACAAAGGTGTGGGCATAAACCTGTAAAATGAGACAATTATTTTCTGTAATGGACTTGCTACTTTCAGGCTCTGTTGAGCTCAGGTATGATAGTGCCGGATCTGCTTGCTTGTTGGAATGCAGATCTAATATGGAAAAAACAAAAACAAATTAAACACCTGCTAACTAGCAAGAGAAGTGTTCTGGAAAAGGCATCCTATTCTGCATTCCAGGCTGCAGATATGGGAGATTTTGGGGTCTGTGCATGTAATTGAGTTTTTTATTTCCCTTTTAATTGGATTGTAATAGACTTTGCAATGACCTGTGGCTTGAACCAATAAATAAATTCGCTATTCTCTAGAATATTATAGAGAAATACTTTCAGGCTCTGTTGAGCTCAGGTATGATAGTGCCGGATCTCCTTGCTTGTTGGAATGCAGATCTAGTATGGAAAAAAAAAAACAAATTAAACACCTGCTAACTAGCAAGAGTTCTGGAAAAGGCATCCTATTTTGCATTCCAGGCTGCAGATATGGGAGATTTTGGGGTCTGTGAGACGCCAATGTTGGATCAGGCCAAAGGCCCATCCAGTCCAACACTCTGTGTCACACAGTGGCCAGAAATACCAGTGCCATCAGGGGGGCCAGGACATTAGAAGCCCTCCCACTATTCCCCAGGTCTCATCCTGATGTGGGTCTGGGAGAGGGCCAGCTCTAAGGGCAGGAAGACAACAGTGAATCCCACTGCATCATTAAGCTCCATGTTCTGTTGAATCAAAGGACCTCATCTTCTCTGCAATGCATCACTCGTTGGGAAGAAAGCTTTGAAAAATTAAATATATAATCAATATGCCTTTCCTTGCTAGATTTGCACTATGGAACAAATCATATCCATTACTGGTTAACAAGTAGGGAGCCAGGCACTTCTCTTTGATGGTGATATGTTGCAACAGGCTCTGCTATCCAGGTGTGAAGCAATCTGTACAGCAGTAGATCCCCTCATCTGGTTCTGTGGCATTGAAAATAGGAAGTGCAACAGCATCTGACCTCCCTGTGTCCCAGAGGATGGAAAGCCCCTTGCCTGTGTAGCTGGAACTCCATTTCTGAGTAGCCTTCCCTCCTAGAAGGAATGGCAGTATCCTCCCCAACCCCAAGTGGGGACTTCAGTAGGATTCACTGAGAGGCAGGGATTGGGATATATTTAGCTAATAGTGCAGACATTTATTCTTAATTACTTTATTTGTAATTATTTAACTCTGTGACTTAAAAAAAAATGATTTAAGGAAGGGCAGAAGTGCCAGCAAGATTGAATGGGAGGCAAACCACCTGTTCCTCATTTCCCCTGTGGAGAGCAAAACCTGGGAGGCCCCATCAGAATTTCCTCTTGGTGCAACTTGGCTGCTCCTCCTCACAGACACCCCACTGGGGGACGAGAACCAAGAGCTGGTGTGCATCGTAAAGTCTCTGGTGTTCTTCATGGGCTGTGGGGAGGGGATTAAAGAGCCTTGTGCCTCTCAGTCCATGATGAAGAAAGACTCTTTTTGGGCATAGCTGGAGAGATGGGTTGTCTTGCAGGGGCCAGATGGGAAGACCACAGGCTTAGCCTCTGGGCTTCCCATTGGCTATCCCCACTCAGTGCTGAACAATGATGGGTGGGTTTTTAACCTCCTTCATAGCTGACCTTTCTTCCCAAGGGGGACCCAAAGTGGCTTACATCGTTCTCTCCTTCAGTTTACCTTCACAACAACCCTGTGAGGTGAGGTGGCTGAGAGAGTGTGTGACGGGCCCAAGGTCACCCAGCAGGTTTCCCAGGTCCTAGTCCAACATTCTGCACCATCCTGGCTCTGGCTGATGGATTCTTCCAGACGGGGGCTTTTATTTAGTGCATCAGTTGGGATTCCTGACATCTACAACTCACAGAGGTCTGTTGCCTCTTCCTGAGATGACTGTTTCTAGTTCATATGGTAAAAATGGTAAAAATCCCACTTATTTTACCTAACTCATAATTATTGATCAGTGGATTTTATCTACTGACATTTCGGAATCATTTACTTTAAAATAGCTCATCTCTGTTTCCAAGCCAAAGAGCCAGCGCTGTCCGAAGACTTCTCCGTGGTCATGTGGCCAGCATGACTAAACACTGAGGTGCACGGAATGTTGTTACCTTCCCACTGAAGCAGTACCTATTTATCTACTTGCCATTTCTTGCTTTCGGACTGCTAGGTTGGCAGGAGCTGGGGTCAGAGCTGGGGTCAGAGCTTATCCTGTTCTAATTATTACAGAGGAGGATGCAGGAAGAAGCTAGCTTAAAAGCTGGCATCCTTACAAAACCAGAACTAGCCAGCATCTTCACACTCTGTCATACTTAGGCTGCAGTCACACTGGAGGCTTGGGTTGATCTAGCTGCGCCTCTGTTTGCGGTGGTTTAAATAGCTGCTGGAAGTTTTCATCAGGCATCCAACCCAGAACCAGCGTCACTGTGCACTCGCCTCATGGTCAATTGTTCAGATTGTTGCAGCATTCTTTGTTTGTTTGTTTTTTTGTCTTTCACCCATGTGCAGAAGCGTGTGTCCAAAGCTCTGGTTCCTTTTTGACAGCTCTGGCTCCACAATCTCTCTGCCCAGTATTCTGGCCCCTCTCACCCTTCCCTTCGCCTCTCTTCTGTGGAATACTTTGGGGGGGGGCAGATTTACTTGAGAGTAGTCCCATTGACTTCAGTGCACTTACCCTTGCGTCAGTCAAGGGATGCTCTCAGACTGTGACGCAGAAACAGGAGAGAGGGCTTTGGGAGGGGGATTTGTTGCTTGAAAACAACTCCCCCAGGAACTCCTGATCCAGAATGACTACTTGGCCATGGTTGTTGACAACAGCAAGGGCAATTATGCACTTATGCAAACATTGCTACCTGATAAAAAAAAAAAAAAAAAAAGGAGACGGAAATGGAAGGGAACGTTCAGACTTCCCAAATGGCTTGTCTTTGCAAGAGGGGAGTTCAGACAGCTGGAAATGTGGAGTGGAAGCGCTGGCATCCCTGAACACCAGACTTTCCCCGGTGCCTGATGACTCCGCTTCCAAACTGAGGCAAAGGGAGGTGTCGATGACTGGGGCACAGAAGGCAGATGTTGTTGTCTGATGATGCTCTTTAAATCAACAAAGGTAACGCTACTATATTGCGACAAAGTGCTCGTGTGACCGCAGCCTTAGTCTGGCATTACCCTCTCTCACTTTGGCACCACTATCGGCACGAGAAGCCACAGCCTCATGGGAGAACGTAGACGACTGAGGCCAGAAGCTAATTCCCAGACTAATTCCGGGACGACTCCAGGTTTACACTGAAGAACAGGATTACCAACCTCTGTGCGGAGTCCAGAGATCTCCCAGAATTACAACCGTTCTCCAGGTTACAGAGATCGGTTCCCCTAGAAAAAAATGGCTGCTTTGGAGGATGGACTCTGTGGCATTATATCTTACTGAGGTCCCCCCATTCCCCAAACCACACTGTCCCAAGGAATTTCCCAACCAGGGGCTGGCAACCCTACTGGGGAAACAGATAAGGGGGTGCCTCTGAACCAGTAGCAGTTGCATGAGAGAGGGATAGTTTGTTACATGTGACATGCAGGAGTCAGGGGGGAAAACAGATTCGAGTGACTGGCTTTCCACCTCACCTATCCCCCTACCTCCCACTTCCAGTCTGCTGCTACTCACCTGTCACCATCCAACTCTGCCCAGCCATCCACCATCCTGGAAAGGAGAGGATTCCATTAATGTCAATAGATTTGAACAACTGGACCTGATCCTGCTTCTCTGATCCTCCCACCCTGCTGTTGCATGCTGTAAGGTCCCACTTTTCCTTCCCTCCAGAATACAAACCGACAAAGAGGAGTCTGAAAGGGACCCTCATGGTGAGGGGGGTTCTGTGGACAGCAGGGCTGCGTTTCCTCCTCTCACTGTGATCCCCATAAGGAGGACCTTGGCTGAGGGCTCCAGTTTCTTAAATGCATCTGTGTAGCACAACTCACCACATTTGACACCCTCCACTGCCTGAAGAAATCACATCCGCTTTCAGGGTCCAGCCACAGCAGGCACAGAAACCAGAAGTGAACAATTCTCAGAATCTGTGTGTGAAGTGATGCCAGGAGTCAGCTTGATTTCTTGTGATTCAGCAGCAGAGGGGAAGATTGCTTAGCAGGGGCAATGGGACAGGGGGAATCAGGACTCATTGAAAAGACGGAGCATCTGGAGAAGTGAGCTCCAACTCGCAAAAGCCCAGGTGGGAATCAATGTTGCAAGTCTTTCAGGTGCCACTGGACTCCTGTTTCACTGAGATTTCAGACCCAAGGAGTACTGCTTCTCCCTGTAGGGATATATGTGCTTATTCATTGTAGTAATTTAAGTACTGTTGCAGTGATTATGCTGTGTTGATATATAACCCTCTGTAACTGTTTAATTTTAATTTATTTAATTTTATTTTAACGCTTTAATAAATGTGCCATTTGAAAAGCAGACCCCCGCCCATCACTTTGCAAACAACCAATCCCCCTTGCTTTCCAGTAAAATGGGGGGGGGGCCTTTCCATTAAAGTGACTGTATTCCTACAATACTTCGAAAGAAACCAGCGCATTCCTGTAGCTGTTTTCTATCATTCCTTTGAGTGTCACCCCAATGTATGCAAGACGAGACCTTAACATCAAGGCCTGGTGAATCTGCTTTTAATGTCTATCTTTTCCCCCATCCTGATGAAGAGTTCTAGCAAGCTGTACAGCTCAATGTTTTGTGTCAGTTTGATCAGTCCTAATAAAAGGCATTAGGTGGATTTCCTCTCTGTGTCTGGCTCACCCTCTTGTTCTCGCTCCACACTTTCGCTGTCTCAAAGCAAGTTCTTAAGAGATTCTGTTCTCTGTAGCCTTCTGACCAGCTCTTACATCAGGTCTCTTGTTAACCAAAGTTAACCAAAGATGTGAGGACAATGTCAGATGCATGTAAGGATAGCTCAAGCACCCTAAGTTTTGTTTCTGGGGAAATCCAAATGGATCTTCCATATCATCTGTCTTCCACTTTTTGTGTTTGGTGTCGAGGCGTCCAATCAGGGGCCTTTCCAGCCCAGTCTGGCTCCCCAGTGGACATCCCAGTAGTCATTCTGGTCATTTTTTTCAGCTGACATTCCTTGAACTAGCTGTGGTGAACCAGCTGGCTTTAGTACCAAAGGTTTCAGGCACGCATTTAGAAGCAGCCCAACCCATCCTGAATCCTGAGTTAAAAATTCAAAATGGCACCCCACATTGAAGTCAAACTATGTGAATGAATGAAATGATTAGCAAGTTGCTGCCCTTTATTGCCACCTGATGTTGCTTGTCTGATCCTGCCTAACAAAAGGGCAAACCCCGTACTCAGGGGTCATTTCCTGCGGGAGCGCACAGGAGCGGAGCTCCGGCAGTAAGGAGCCCAGGGGGCGGGCACATGCAACAAGCCCCGCCCCCTGCTCCCTGCAGCCCCGGGCCACGAGGAGCCTGCGCCAAGGTTTATTCAGGTACAAGCTCTCCCTCCTCTGTGAGGGCAGATCTGCGCATTCCCCCCAATAGCTAGCAATCCAAAACAGTCCAGGGGAGCCTGAGCGGTGGGTGTTGCCTTCTGACACACTTCCAGTGATGTCAGGGGATGTGGCATATGCAAATGAGTTATGCTAATGAGCTCCTGCACCTCTTTTTCTACGAAATGACCCCTGCCCGTACTGATGGTTCTTTCCATTCTCTTCTTGGGCCTGTACTTCCAGAGAGATCAGGGAGGCTCTTTAGACTTTTCTGGACATTCCGATTTGATGCTCCGACCACGTGAGTATGTGCCATTTTGTTTGACTGGGGCAACACACTGTTTCCAGTGCATGTCTAGCTTTGGTATACCTCCCCCCCCAAAGAACCCCAGGGATTTCTTTGGGGGGTGCGGGGAATGCATTTACATGCTGACGTGCATAGAAAATATGTTCATTGTCCCGTTCAAACAAAATAGCAACCACATGTATCAGGAGGATTGTGCATAGTGGGTGCACCTGTTATGTGGGACTGGAGTAACAGAACTGAAAGTCTGAAAAGAAATGTCACAAATGATAAATATAGACCCTGTTTCCCAATTCTGCATTAAAAAAGAGGAACCCTTCACAGAGCTGTTTCTTTAAGAGTATTGTATATAAACCAGTAGTAGGAAGAGGGAGTGGTTGCAAGCTGTAGGTGTTTTTATACTGTGTGATTGAGCATAATAAAGCTAACCTGGAAAACGGATGAGGAGGCATTTTATTACGATACAACATTTTGGCGACGAATTGGGATGGCTTTTTTGCCTTTAAACCCACCAGCCTGTTTTTTACAAAGTCCAGGTGAGCCTCCAATTGCTTTCACTTCATGGATTCGTATGTTCAACAATTATCTGCTTGCAATTAGTGACACGGAGGTGTCTGAAGAACGGAAGCTTGCGCTGCTTATTCACTCCTTGGGAGTAGAAGGACAACGTATTTTTTATACATTCTCCCTTACTGATGATAAGTATGAGACTGCTCTTGCTGAACTGGAGAAATTTTTTGTGCCTAAGGTTAATGTGGTTGCTAATCGTTATCAGTTCCGTCAGCGGGAACAGAAACCGGGGGAGTCAACTTTACAATATGTTGCAGCCCTGAGAGACTTAGTCGGCTCCTGTGAGTTTGGAGTGCTGGCTGATGAGATGATTAGAGACCAGCTGGTTGAAAAAACAACAATGCCTCGCATAAGGGAACGTTTACTCCTGGAACCAAAACTTTCCTTGGATAAGGCTATAACATTAGCAACCCAAACTGAAGCAGCTATAAATGAATCCAAGATGATAAGTTTAGGCACTGGAGATGCAGTACAGAGGGTGGAACTGTTGCAGAGGGTGGCAGTACAAAGCCATGATTCTGCAAAGGAGTTAAAAGAACATGCTGAAAAGCCAGGAAGCCAACGAAACAGAATGCCAACAAGAGTGTGTTTTCGTTGTGGCTCCATACAACATCTAGCAAACCACCCTAAGTGCCCTGCAAAGGGAATACAGTGCAATTATTGCAAAAAAATTGGACATGTTTCTAAAATGTGTTCTAGTCTTCGGAATAATTATCAGGTGCATGCAGTTCAAGTACCGGATGTGAAAGTTTTGAATGTGGATGGGAGTAGAATTGTGTCTGAAGTAAAAAGAATTATGTGCACTGTTAAGATATGTGTTAACCCCTTGGGGGAGGGTCAGGAAATTGAATTAATGTTGGATACTGGTTCAGCTGTGTCTATATTGCCTGAGGCACTTTATTTGGAATATTTTGGGAATGTGCCATTAGTAGAGCCAAAAGTGCAGTTGGTGTGTTATTTACAGAACAAAATACCTTTGTGTGGTTGTTTACCTGCTAAAGTGAGTTTTGGTACATGTTGTGCACCTGCAGAATTTTATATTGTGCCTAATGGTACCCCTATCCTTGGCAGGGATTTGTTTGCTGCACTAAAATTGATGGTAGTGGATGGACATACTATGGCTTCACAACTGGATGTTGAACCCTTACAGGGAGTTCCCCTTTGTTTTTCTTCTGCAAGTAGGGATACCTCTGTGCAAGGTATTGGTTGTGCAAAGGGATTTGTGCACAAAGTAAAAGTGAGATCAAATGTTGTTCCTGTGCAACAGAAGTTACGGCGATTGCCAATTTCTGTGAGAGATGCTGTGTCAGAAGAGCTTAAAAAATTGGTGCAGAAGGATATTATTGAGGAAGTGGACTCATCAGAATGGGTTTCCCCCATAGTGGTGGTAAGAAAGAAAGATGGAAATATACGCCTTTGTGTAGACTTAAGAGAACCAAACAAGGCTGTTGTGATTGATAGCCATCCATTGCCACATATAGAAGAGGTGTTTTCAGAATTGGCAGGGTCAAGGATGTTTTCCACTTTGGATTTGCAGAGTGCATATCACCAAGTTATGCTGCATAAAGAAAGTAGAGATCTTACAGCATTCATTACACATGAGGGATTATTTAGATTTAAACGAGTCCCATATGGGTTGGCTTCTGCCCCTGCTGCTTTTCAAAAGATGATGTCATCAATACTTAAGGGGCAGAAGGGAGTTCAGTGCTATTTAGATGACATTATTGTATTTGGAAAGACACCTGAAGAACATGAGAGTAATTTACAGTCAGTATTAAGACGTATTAGTGCAGTTGGACTGGAACTTAATATGGAAAAATGTAAACTAAGACAGGTAGAACTCTCTTTTTTGGGACATAGTGTTTCAGCAGCTGGGTTGAAACCTGATTTGGATCATGTTGAAGCAATTATGCAGGCACCACCTCCTGTTGATTTACAAGGCCTGCGTTCTTTCTTGGGGTTGACATCATGGTATGCAAAGTTTATCCCTAATTATGCTTCAGTTATTGAGCCACTTAGAGAATTGTTGCGTGGGAATACAACCTTAGTATGGTCATCAGCAGCTCAGGCTAGTTTTAATGCTGTAAAAGACCTGATTGTCCATAGTCCTGCTTTGGCATTGTTTGAACCATCATTGCCTATAATTGTAACAACTGATGCTTCGGACTATGGGCTGGGAGCCGTGTTGACACAGCTCCATGAGGGTAAGGTGGAAAAGACAGTGGCATTTGCATCAAGGACTTTGACGCAAACGGAGAGAAAGTATTCTGTGGTTGAAAAGGAGGCACTTGCATGTGTTTGGGCCACAGAAAAGTGGAGGACTTATTTGTGGGGCCACTTATTTAAACTACGTACTGACCATAGTCCCCTGACAACATTATTGACATCAAAAGGATTGGGAAGGGCAGGGAATCGAATTGCTAGATGGTCAGCACGATTGCTCTCTTTTACTTATGAGATTGAATATAAACCAGGAGTAGAGAATGTGACAGCTGATTGTCTGTCCCGGCTGCCATTGCCATCCTCAGGCATAGTGCC